AAATTCTATCTCGCTCTTGCTAAAGGTCAAGCTGGAGTGGAACAGAGTGAAGATGGAATGCTATGGTCTTTTTCTACTCCAAATCATTCGAAAGACAGCTGGCAAGCACTCTACCTCGCTGCCGATGAAGGCCTACTGCTCACAGATGTCAGCACTTTTCCCACTGGAGCTTTCGCAGGTTACAGCTCTTCAGGGTATAAATCTACATCGAAAGGCTTCAACAACTCCAAAGGGGCACTAAGGCTACTCTTTAAAAAATCAGCAACTGTCACTTCATTGAGCGATATTACCTCTCTTACTCGTGACCGTAAAGAGTTCCACCTATTTCGGCCTTATTTCTTCCATGATTTATCATTTCTGTTCACTAAGGATGTTGCAAGAGGCGAAGAGCTTGTGTTTGAAATGCTTCAAAAGCTGGTAGGCTCAGCAGTAATTGATATAAAGGAGATAGAAGAACTAAGGTCTATGTGTCCTGACCCTTACTTGCCAAATAGGATTTATAGATTGACATGGCAAGTGATCGAAATAGCAGTTGGAAGACGACTATGCAATGACTTGCAAGAACAACTGCGAGATGAAATTCGAAAAAAGATCAAAGAGAGTGCCCTACCTTTGATACTAACTTGATCTGTGGGCATGTTATCATTGTTTTTGTTGTTTGTTTGTAAATAAAATTTCATAACTATTTGTCGGTTCCAATATGCTTTTTCTGATAAGAAATTACGAGACCGATGCTTAATTGTACGCACCTTTTTTCCTGCTGCTCAATGCATTTTCTGATTGTTCTTTATAATTTTAAAAGCACCAGTTCTTTCAATATTGTGAAGAAAATATAAACAACAATATATAAGTTGAAGATAAAAGGAACCAACTGTTCTCAAACAGTTTGCCTAGTTAATTTTTGAAGAAAAGTTGGAGAAAAATGATTAATTACAAGACTTTATAAGTGTATCTTGCAAAAAGACATCCTGCAAAAAACTTACTTTCTACTTCCGTGCTGAACAAGTTGAAAAAGGTTTATCTATAAAATCATAGTTTTAGCGCTTCCCCATTTCATCGTTGAGAGATTGGAAAAAATTGAAAGATGTTCGCAAACTCGGAGTGCCAAGCTTGTCCTCTCGACAACCGGTTTTCACACAATATGGTCAGTATCGCAGTTTAACATGGATAGAAAATAAAGACTCAAGTTTAGGAGTTAACACGACATTGGTTTCATGTACAATGGTAATAACCGTTGAGAAATTGGGAAAAATTTGAGGAATATTCTTATTGCTCTATTGCTCTAAAAAAACAAATATTGGGAAATTAAATGGAAATGTTCGAATCAACTTCTTCACTTCTAATGTGTGCTCTATTATGAAGCCTTTGTTTTGAGTTTTTGTTGAACCTATGAAGGCTGTGAATGATGTTCAGCCAGTGCTTCGTGATTATTTTATTACTCTCATGCAGGTAAACGGTGTTTGGTACATTTTGATAATATAACAGAAATTTATATAAACATGGTATTCATGTACAACGAAAACATTAAACAATTTACAAAGAATGCAACATTTAGTGCAAGTAGGTCTTTTGCAATGAAATTTTCGACGAACACTGGTTGAGTTCTTTGACCAACGTTCATCTTCCAAAAAACTGTAATCTGCTATTTGTTATCAAATCCAGTTTTGCTCCTGCATACATATGTTTTGAATTTAGTTATTCTTGCGAAACAATTTCATATATATGTGAATATAAATTGAATTTCTTGCATAGAAAAGCGGATTACGCATCTGATTGTTCACATGAATAAGCCCTAAGCTATCAATTCCATAGAAGGGATTTTAATTTTTTTACATAAAACCTTTGGAAAATTATTTGATCCTTTTGTTTAAAAAGAGTGAAAAGTTTGCAGAATTACGAAAGCACAAATACCCACTTATCTCTATCTAAACATATCTAGTGCTTAACTTCAAAAATTTACCCAAATTCCTATTTGAAGCCGCACCGATAATTGTGAAGTAGCCTGACATATCTAAAAACTAAGCTGCGTGTAACTCAACCCCATAAACAAAACAAATAAAAAGTAGAAGAAGCAGCGCTCGTTTGTTTATGTTTGTGGGAAACGTAAACATGCTACCAAGCAGGGTAACACGAAGCTATCGAGTTAAGTGAGACAAGAAGGGATTACCTTTGATAAAATAATGGGGAAGAATTGTTTCTTAGGTAAAAATCTGTAGCAGTAGGGGAATTATTGAGATAGGTGATTTCGTCAGCAGGCATTCATGGTATCGAATCTTCGGGCAACAAAAAGTTAAGTGTAACTTCCCGAATAAGAAGAAGCACTACAAGACTTTTTGTTGCCTTTGCCACAATACCAGCCTTGATGAGGCTCAATGGAGAGTGAATTTGGAGGAGGCTATATAAGTTTTAGAGTTCTTCAACGTCTTCATCAACGACACATTAACGCTGAGATTTGCAATTTATAGAGCTGGCTGAAGAACTTCATATAGTTCAATTAAATTGAAATAACCCCAGTTATAAATATAGTGCCAAAGTCTATTTAAGGAACTCCACTTACTTACCCTTTTCGTTGGGCGAATAGAATGATAATGACCACATTACCTATCAGCTGCATGCCTTATCGATGGCTATTGTTCTAAATGCCTAAT